CTATGACTACGAGATCTGGTAAATGGACGTCAAAACTGCATTTCTAAATGGCGATTTAGAAGAGTGTATATATATGTCTCAACCAGAGGGATTTGTAGTCAGTGGGAGCAGTGGAAAAGTATGTAGGCTGCTTAAAGCCATTTACGGACTGGAGCAAACATCGCGGAGATAGAACATCTATTTTGTTGATGCTATCAAGGAGTTCAGTTTCATCAAAAATCCAGATGAACCATGTGTGTATAAATTGATAATTTGGAGTATAGTATCGTTTCTTATTTTGTATGTAGACGATATACTCTTAATCGGCAATGACATACCGTCATTACAAGCGGTTAAAATTTAACTATCAAAAAAAATTTTAATGAAGGATTTGGTTAAAGCATCCTGTATACTGGGTATTCAGATCTATAGAGATAGATCTAAAAGGATATTAAGATTATCTCAATCTAGATACATTAGCCGATAAATCTGGGTTGCTCTGATAACATCTTAAAAGTCTCTTAACTATTTCTCCAAAACTCCAAAGTTGAGGAGTGTTGTGGGTTATATTTTTTTATATTCTAATCATGTTGCTAAGCAATGAAAACTTAAATTCTTCATAAAGATTCTTACAGTCAGCCTTGATATGAGAAGCAAGCGAAATTTCCCCCTTAAGGAATCTGGCATTTCAGATGAGAGGATTTGCTAAAATGACCAGGTGAATCTCCTTAGGCTACGTTTGGGAACTAATATTTGGATTTGAAAGGTTGATTTAAAATCATGGGATTTCAAATCTAGAATTTGAAATCCATGATTTGATAAAATCTTTTGTTTGGATGTCATCACTAAATGCAAGGATTTGAAATCACAGATTTAAAATCTGATGTTTGGATGCACTTTATTATACATGAATTTGGATTTGAAATTGGTGTTTTAAAAAATTTTATGCTCTCTCTTAACTCCTTAATAATTAAATCAAATGCGGACATTATGGTTTATATTGAGGAAAAAGTTAGGGTAAATTTCACGACCCCCTCAGAAGTTTGATCTCTTTATTAGCAATTATAAATACACATGCAAACATCTTGTCCTTCATGAATCGGTATGAGAGAATACAAAAAATAATAATAATGTCCAAAATATTTATTATTACGCCATTTTTTCATGGCTTCATCCAATACTACATCAACCTTCAATCTCCAAAGAACAAGAGTACTACTCCAATAACTAGCCATGATAAAAGACTCGACGAGTCAAAAGAGTTTAGCAAACACTCCTCATAAGAAGCTCTACACTCCACAATAATCCTTCATTTAAAACACAACATACCATAGGTAGTTGATAACCATGATTTGCTATAAGAAGTAACCATGATTTGCTACAACAAGCCAAATTACGACAACATAAACTATTAAAAGAAAACATATCTAGAATCCTCTATTTATCCTTCAAGTCTTCTCCTCTTTTCTCTCCAATGCGCCCAACTTCATGTCTCGAAGAATTTGAGTCCTACATTACACAATTTAGCATCAATTAGTCCATGGCACAAAAATCGAACTTCAAAGTTGAATCATGAAGACCATCAACCTTTAAAAAAAGAAAAAGAAAACAAGTACAGGATTGCGTACTTTCTGTATTCTGATGGAGGCACTAGTTTTCTCAACAAGGAGACCATGACAATTGTTGATGTTAGATTATCAAGGACAGAATTTAGGAAGAAGGTGACAAAACCAACCTGAGAAAAGCACACAGTGCCACTTTTTACTGGAAGTACCCTATACCACCATTTATAAGTTATCATGTGATATAGGAGTGTGTATCTGCATATTCAATGTACCTTGGAAGTATTTGGAAGTATATACTAACTGATTATTTATGTTATATGGATGCACACATACATACATATAGATAGTTCACCTTCTAATGCTGGAAGTCTCCCATCACACAATATCCAAACAAGAATACTAGTGTATTTACCACAAAACATTACAGTCAATCCAGCATCTGTGCACGCATAGTCTCAGTTTACTTTGAAATTCAGGCATTACCGAAGTAAAGTATTCAAGGTCCTTGCACCATGTTCAGGTTCTTATCAGAGGACAAACTGCTACTTAAAAGCAAGCTCAAACTCATTCTAGTTGATGTAAATTAAAGCGCTAATCTTTGTAGCATAATTCATGACTTCAAAAAACATGATTTTGAGGGAACAAATGGAACTCCAAGAATGAAAAATACATCAAAAGTGCGCACCTAAGGTTCTTCAGATATAAACTATGACACTAGCATGCAATTTGTTTTAGTGTTGCATTTTCGTTTCAGAAAGTAGATACACATGAAATATATGGGTTGAACATCTGTAAAGACCACTAAAGACAGTAGGCTCAAATAGTTCAGAAAGTGGAAATCAATCCATGTTCACCAAAAATAAATTGTCAAAAGTGTCATAAATGACACAGATAAACCTCCAGTTAAGGGACAGGGATAGATATTATATAATGTCAAGAGTCAGTAATACTATGATATGAAATTTCTAATGAGTTCAATCTTAACCATGATACAAAATTGTAAATGACATAAAATGTCAGCTACGACAATTATGGAAAACCAGAATACAGGCATTAAATCTAACATATAACTAAATCCAGTAATGCACTGAAAAAATAAACTAGAGAAAAACAAGCTATCAGACAAAACCAAAACTATGAGAGTTGATGAGAGGGACAGTCATGCTTAACCTTTCGAAACCTTATCCTGTTCAATGAATTGTCAGAATGAATGCCAAGTAGTTGTCTGTCGAAATTAATTAGCAGTATATTAATAAGTATATGTGCAGTTATGTGGAAAAGACTAAGAACAGTGTTACAGTGGGTCAATCTGGCTGATCAACCATAGTACTCAAAATTTAGGGATAAATGACAAAATAATGAGAGTTAAAATATGCCTAAAAAAGAAAAAGAAATCCAAGAGAGAACTTACTCGAATGGGTTCAAAGATTTGGGGGTTCTTGCCATCCAACTAGAAGCTATAAAATCAGTCGAATAAAGATAGCATCACTCACTCCAGAAGTCACAACTATAAGTTTGCATCCTAACATAAATGACAAAATAATGAGAGTTAAAATATGCCTAAAAAAGAAAAAGAAATCCAAGAGAGAACTTACTCGAATGGGTTCAAAGATTTGGGGGTTCTTGCCATCCAACTAGAAGCTACTCCTTAAGAATAAAGAGAATGAAATCTCTTTTTTCATCATCAGGAAGTGACTTCAACAAATAAAATTTTTCCGGGTTGCTATCCATTAGCTTCTCAAATGCCTTGAACACTTGAATGCGACTTAAGTTGGGTATTTTTGAGACCACGTGATGAATCTCCTCACCGGTTGGTGGTTTTCTTACTACTTCCTTCTTTCTCTCATTAAAATACTCAGTCACAGAAGCTGCCATCACTGCAAGTGAATCAACCAATTTATCCCCCTTCTTTTGTTTCTTTGAACTTGTCTCACCACTAGTTGATGTTCCAGGAAGATGTTTCCTTGAAGAGCTTCCATCTTCGTTTGTTTCAGATTGTGCCACAGATTCATCATGTTGCATTGTGTTAGCAGCCTCTTCAAAAGTTTCTGCACCTTCACCGTTGGCTCTATCTTTTGCACATAACACCATAATGTCATCCCAATTTTCAATCAAACGATTCTGGTAGCCTTTTGCATCTGGATTAGCCTGCAATATAAGAACATTCACAAATATTTTTTAGATATATGCAACAAACTAATAGTTCAAATTAATAAATATAAAGTGCAATATTACCGTAACATAGTCGTTCCATACTTTTTGCTCACTAGCGGGTATAATCACCATTTTCTTCTCATCATCCCACCACGTCAAACCACTTTTATTTTTAATGTCATAGATAACATTATAATGGGTTTTCCAAATTTTGAGTCGATTTTTCACGTTATCTTTGTTCAAGTTGCTATTAAATGATTTTAATGCATCAACCGCAACTTGATACACTTGAGGCTTCCAAGTACCATCGACTTTTAATCCTTGGTTCATTTGATCATACAACACATTGGCTAAAGCTGCGTCCATATCACGATTCCACACAACATATGATCTTGAATGAGATGCAATTTGTTTCCCTTTCTTTGTCATCCTAATACATACCAAAGTGAATGACACAGAATTAGTATTGAAGGTTGATTAGTAATGAAGGCTGAAGAATAATGGTAATAACAGAGTTGTGCTTGATCCCTATGACTAAAATGAAAAGAAAGTATCCTGGAGCGAAAAAAAATTTAAATCTTAATCGTGCAAAAGATATATGTATGCAACGTAGGTCTTTAATACAACCATAGTCTGCAATTAACCCATATACCTGGAGGTATACCTGGAGTACCAGAAACTGATACAGTGATCTTCTAGGCCTTGATTCAGGATTGGTAGATGTAATGGATTCTAGTCTTCCTCTCTTTTAACAATATAGACATAACATTACTTTACTTCAGCTTAGAACAACTTAATGATGGTACCAAGTAACATACAAATAGATCAATGACCTGCATACAAATAGATCAATTGAAATGATCACATCCAATTGCCACCTGCATTACAATCACAATTACAACCAAGCGAACAAACTCTGGCCACAATTGAACTTCTAAAATCTTGATTCTGACATATATAATCTAAGTTAACACTCAGATTACTAAGTATATATTCACCTGAATCCATCTCCGTGTCTAAAAGGGTTATCTAGAATTGAGTCTGTTTATACTCAGAATTGAGTTGACAACTTTATCATCACATGGTCATGCGAGAACTAGATCCTGTTGTCTAATGCTGAACTTAACAAATGACATGACGGCGAGGTCATGCAGAGGAGATGACAAAGAAGACTAATTACCATCAATGTGTTATGTATCAAAAAGTTAATACATAATTCTGAAGTACAAAAGCTAAGAGTAAATTCTTAATAATAATAATAACACTGCATATATAAAAATCTCACATTTGCATAAACAGAAACTACACTGCATATATAAAAATCTCACAACCACTCATCATCTTCTTCATACTCGTCACCCTCATTTCCATCTTGTAGCTAAATTATCTTAAAGTCGGTATTCATCCCACATTTGCATAGCTAAATTATCTCTAAAGTTGCTCCATTCATCTGTAACTCTCACAGTGGTGATACGCTCATCATCTACATTCTCAATTTCTAAAACAGGATCATCTTCTAATTCTCGATCCACGTCATTCAACAAGTCGTCTTCATTCATCTCTTCACGTAAAAAGTTGTGAAGAATACAACATGCATTAATGATCCTAATTTGAGTCTTAACACTATAAAAGCTAGCTGTCCGTAATATAGCCCATCGCTTTTTTAGCAATCCGAATGCTCTCTCAATTGTGTTTCTAGCAGAGGAATGACGTTGGTTAAATAACTCCTTGTAGTTTCTTGGACCATTTTCTCTCCAAGACTTTATATGATAGCGAGTCCCTCGATAAGGTGCCAAAAACCCCGGCCCATTTGTATACCCAGCATCCACAAGAAAGTATTTATCTACAAAATCAAAATCTTCAGTCACAACAATGTAAAAACTAGGAAGCAATACATATATAATAATTAAAAGAATTATATTCCTACTTGAGGGAAGTTTTAAGCCATTGGGCCGACGCAAAGCATCACGCAAAACACGAGAATCTGATGTTGAACCCTCCCAACCAGGTAGCACATATGAAAATCTCAAATTGGCATCACAAACACCAAGTACATTTGTACTGTTCTCTCCTTTTCTATTTCGATATCTACTTTGATCTTCCAAAGGAATAGTTAATTGGATATGAGTCCCATCAAGTGCCCCGATAGCATCCTAAAATTGCACAACCTTACAATTAGTTCTATTAAACAAAAGTACTAAACATGAAAACCTTAATAAAAGAAGTCATAGTTACCTCAAACCATTTCCACTTCTCTATGTCTCTCTCATTAGGATTTGTATATTCTTGTTTAATATAGAGGCTTCCTATCTTCATGACTGCTTGAAGTACTTTGTGGAACTGCCGACTAATTGTTTCATTTGAACGATAAAAATCTGTCTTGCTTGTCCTATTTTTTACATTATGAGCTAAAATATGCAAAAACATAGCGACAATTTCTTCAATCGTGACATTTCTTGATGCTACTAATCCCCCTCTAGTACATAGAACATCACATAACCTCTTAAACGCTTGAGGATTCATCCTTAGTTGTTCAACACAGTTATTTGCATTGCAAATAAGATTTCGAATCCAAGACTTTCTAAGGTATGTCCTTTCATCCTCTTCTTCGTGTGTTCTTGAACTCTCCTTCAACATGTGCTTTGTATAGTACCAAGCACCAATGGCAGCAACTATAAAACTGACCACTACCATAATAATGTCATCATCCTCTCTCCTCTCAAATTCTTCCCTTGTACGTTTAAGTTGGATCCTTGAATCCCTTTCATCATTTACCATTTTTAACCTATCACATTAAAAGTTGAACATGCAAGCAGATTACGCATATATCCTGAATATATATTTAGCAAGATGCAAATTTAAAATGCTACTCAAAATAGGTACAAGGGTAATTATTAGGATTATTAAGACCATCATTAGAATGCATGAAATAATAAAAAGAAATAAGTAGCTGTCATCAGAAAGAAACACTAGCAAACACCAGCAAACACTAGCAAACTCTAAAGTGACACATAAAATTTGCATGTCATTATCCATGGACAAGGTCACAAGCTAATGTTGTGATAAAGCTAGAGCAATGGATAAAGACAATCCAAATGCTGCTAATGAAATAATCACAGACAGATGCAAATGGTCTAAACAAGTATCCAAATGCTGCTAATTAAATAATCACAGACAGAGATCTAAGAGGTAGAAGATCATTGGAAATACTTGTAGAATTTGGAATATGATCACATAAATGTTAGACCCATGTTAACTGTTCTGTGATACTTTTATGACAAACACTAGACGCCTATTTCCCTTCATCCTGTACCCATTTTGTTTCAGAATCCCCAATTCATAAGAGGCAGTTTTTATCATCGAAAGCAATACGAACATTCTCTTGAATTCCTGGGAAACAGGGTTAATTGTTCACTTTCTTTTCAGCTCTCTATTTCTATGAGCACGCAACTCTTCGCTATCTTTCAAGATAATTGGAAGATGTTGGATGTGACAACGGGAAAACATTCAAGAAGAATGCAGTACTTGTCCCAATTTGAATATAATCACAAATGGTATGGCTGTTTCTAGCAACATAAACACTAAAGTTGAGATGAACCTAGCATATTGTGATCTGTCAAGTCTCACCTATGATTGAAAAACACTTCCTCTATTACTTCTGGTATGAATCTCCTCCTGCAAGTCGCTGACAGTAGCCTGCAAATCCAAAAAAAAAAAAATCAGACGAAACCCAAAACTAACCCTACATCTAGGAGAGCAACCGAAAGAGAGGAAACAAGCTACAAAAGAGAAAATCCAAGTCAGATCTAGGGTTTCGATGGAAGGGGGAGAGAGAGGAGTAAGGGGGAGACCGAAACCCTAGATCAGATCTAGGGTTTCAACGAGAGAGGAGAAGGGGAGAGATCGTAGAGATACATGTTGCTGCGTTGAGAGAGAGAGATTCGAGATCGCGAGAGGAGGAGGTGGGATCGGTCGGAGCTGAGAAACGAGGGAGAGGAGGAGTCGGGATCGTCGGAGCTGAGAAACGAGAGAGGAGTTCGGGATCGGGATTTGGTAAATGACAAGGGGCAGGGTGGGATTTCAAATACGGGCTTTTGGGCTTTTAAATTCTCCCTTTAAAATAATTTGATTTGAAATTCCAGCCCAGTTTTGTAGCCCAAACTAAGGATTTGGATTTTAAATACCTTGGATTTAAAATCCAGGGTCCAAATCCATGTTTCCAAACGCAGCCATAAGGAAGTTTGGGGGCTAGAAGCAATTTTCCCCAAAAAAAATTTTGCCTAATCCTACGAGAGGGTGAATAGATATATTCAAGAAGCAAAAGAAAAAGCCTAGAATTCTATAAATTGTTTTTGTGAAATCAAGAGAATTCTAATGAGATTCTTGTAGAATGCAAGAAAGACGAACTTGTTCAAAGTAGATCTAATTGTTCAGAGTAGAATTGGGCCAAATGACATTAGACTCGTGACTTTATGATTGGTGATTTTGTTTGCCACAACATTGTCACTGAGTTTCTGCTAATGCTCAACTTTCTCTACAAATTATTACTTTGTACGGTGGATATAGATTAATTTTCTTGTTTAAAGTAGATCTACCAATTATTAGATCTAATCGTTGGGAGTAGAATTATTTTATTTTATTTTATTGGAGGACAAAGCATGACACTGTGGGGTTTAAAATGCCCATCTTTGCCTATGATGCGAAACATGCATAGGATAAAGATTAGATATTTCAAATTTATCAAATTCACCCTTGAAATAGGGTTTTTGTTGTGGGGATTCATGGCTTCCTATAAAATCAAGAGTCTGTTGTCATTTACTCTCTTGTTTTTTAAAGAGGTACATTCGATTAAGGATTAATAATACATAACATCAAAAGAAACTCAAAAGAAAAAAAATAATTTCAAATAATTTTGGAGTAAACGACTTAACCACGGGCATTACCCCCAATTTACATTTGCTTTCTTTTTGTCGGTTTGTAGACCCAATAGTCTATCTTGATTTTTGCCCTTTTTTTGGTGTCTTTGCCAATCTAGAGACATAGAAGTTGAGTTTGAATTTTTATAACTGGGAGAGGACTTTCCTGTTAGATATATTTTGATTGGAACTCATTGTTGGCCTTCTTGTTTTGATGATGATTTAACAAACAATTTACATCTAATATTGTTTGTCTAGTGTTCTTGTTTTGATGATGATTTAACAAACAATTTACATCTAATATTGTTTGTCTAGTGTTTGTGTTTTATATTTATTCTAGGCAAACATCTAATATTGTTTGTCTAGTGTTTGTGTTTTATATTTATTCTAGGCAAACAATATGTTGGAGAATGGATGAAATTACGCATTCACGATCATATCCAATGGAGGTTGGCGGAATAGTAGAGTGAAACCTACGCAATTCAAAGTTAAAGATCTAATTACAAGCTTCATCCAAGTTTACCAAGTTGAGCTATAATGAAGATCAAGATCAAGCTTGGGTAATTTAGTTTAGGTGTTATATTATGTGTGTTAAGTACGTTAAACTCAATATCATATACACACACATTTTATTGGTTTCTTTGTATATATATGTAGTCATATATATATACAACACAAGTTTTGGCTTTCATGTTTTGGACTATTTTGAAAAATGATAATATTTCTCATTTGGGTAGTCCTTTTTGAAAACCAGTTTTTGTAGCATATTTATTATCATGTCTACAATCATTTCTCAAAGTTTTATAATTTTTGAAATTTATTTGATATTTTTAAATGGGGTTTTAAGATAACAAAAACTGTTTTCAAAACCTGTTCAAGTCATATATCAGTTTGTGGTCGACCGTCACGGTCGACCGCCTTGAGTTCAGAAACTCAGTATAGTTTTTGTTGGCTCGTGGTCGACCGTGACGATCGACTGTATGCAGTCCAGAGAATCTCGCGGTCGACCGTGTCTGTTTTTAAAAGCTCAGTTTTGCTGTTTTGTTGCTCGCGGTCGACCGTCGATCTATCATTCAGATTCCAACGGCTAGTTTCCAGAGCCGTTTTTGGGTTGGTTTTTTGGTCTTTTCTTGGCTTTCTCTTGGCTTTGGGGCTTCATATAAATACCCCCTTATACCTCAGTTCTTGGTAACCATTTTAGAGAGGGTTTTAAATAAGTTTAAGAGGGTTTTAAAGTTTGTTTTAAGTTATGGAATTTTGTTTACAAAGGAGGAAGCTTCCGTTGCAAATTGAGGGATTCATTCTCAATCTTCTTCATCAACTCCTTTGTGTTTATAGAGAAGTTTTTCTAACTCTTTTCTCTAGCAATTCTATTATTGTTTTTCATATTCTTATTATTGCTAGTTTGCTATTTGAGTTAGATTTTATTTTACTCATTGTTTACACACACCCACATGAGCTTATCGTATTTTCCTACATAGTATATTTGGGTTGGTGAGAGTTGTAACAATTGAGTGTGAGCTTTCATTGTGTTCTCATCCATATTAGAGAACAAACAATTATTGTAATTGTGCCTTATTATGAGATTCACTTTGTAATACACTTGTATACCGAGAGAAGTGTGTGGTGCAAGTCGGGGGTCGTCCCAAGAGGAGTGGCGTCGGTTGACGAACCTAGGGAGAGGTTGTATCCGAGCACTTAAGGGAGACACGTCTAGGTCCAACACTTAAGAGGGTGTAGAGTGGGATTGCAAAAGTGTTGATTGTAAAGTTTTCGGTTAGCTAGAAAACTGAGTGTGAAGTGTAACATTATTCGGGTGAACGTAAAAAACCTGATTGTGATAGTGGAGATATCCTCGAGGTGAGGAGCGGAGACGTAGGTCGTGGGGACCAAACTCCGTAATCATATCGTTTGTTTGAGATTTTATTGGCGTACTTATTTTCATGTTCATATCTTATATCACCATTGTGTATTGCTCATTGTTTATTTAACTCACTATCTAGTTTAGTTTGTTTACCCTTGTGTGATTTGTATATCCTTTCATATATCTCATAGTATATCTCATTGCTAGGATATATCCTTTTGTTCATATTGCATATTCTTACTCATAATTAGTTGTATATCTATCTTGTAAGAATATATTTGTTAATTAGTTTTGATTGGCATAAAATCGGATTAGATTAGCATAAGACCCTGATCACCCCCTCTAGGGTCTAACACTCATTAGATAAAGTTGAATTTCTAACGAGTAGAGGACTTTCTCCATATGTGGCGATTATCAATGAATTTCTGATAGATGTAGAACTTTTATATCAGTAATGGAATTTTAGGCTTTTTGCCAAGTAGAGGACTTTCCTGTCAAAGTATATACGATTTTATAAACTTCTGATTAGGAGAGGATTGTCTAACTAGACGATAGTTTTAATTTAAAATTTTAGTTTAGTGACATGATGGTCAAATTTGGTAATTTTTTTAGTTTGGGGACATGGAGGTCAATTTAGAATTTGGTCTTGTTTGACGACTTAGAGGTTTGTAATGACTGTGAATTTTCGATACTAGTTAAAACAATTTTCTAGTATTTTAAATATTTAATTATTATTTTTAAAAGAGTATTTGTATTTTTCTCGACCTTCTAGAATTTTCTATAATTTAAAAATCTGATTTTATATTTATTTAAATGATTTAGATATTTATAAATTTATTTAGTGTAGTAAAAGTTTCTAGAACTTATCTGTTGTGTTATCGATACTATTACGTATCATTTTAAAAAATATGTTGTATTATTATTATTATGTATTATTTATATAATACGTTATATTATTAATTACGTATTATTTGTATAATTTGTTATATTATTTTTACTATTATA